TATCTCCTCCAAGTCTGGCATAAGGATACTTCAGTGCTTCATTAACCACTATGACAGTACTCGAACCTAAGACTACTGTCGTTGGGATTGTAGAACGATTTGGAGTACTCATAATCAGCTTGTCTCAGTTCACCACAAGTCATAATGAATCAAAGGAACTCCAATTATACATCTAAGTCCTCACCCTATCTAACATGATTTCTGCTTGCACGACTAGTTGAATGATCTCGAACAAAGAATTCAAGGTTTGTGGTGAAACCCTGCGCTAAATAGTAAAATGCAAGCCTTCTTAAACCGAGCAATTTTCTGAACTCAGTTTGATTTAGATTATTACAAGAAGAAAGCCACTGGAACTCTATCTTTCAACTACTCACATTAATATCTTAGCAAAAACTTTTAAAAATTGGGCTAAAGTTGGATCTTTATTTAAGACCCATTAACTTTTGGCTTTATTACANACCCTGCGCTAAATAGTAAAATGCAAGCCTTCTTAAACCGAGCAATTTTCTGAACTCGGTTTGATTTAGATTATTACAAGAAGAAAGCCACTGGAACTCTATCTTTCAACTACTCGCATTAATATCTTAGCAAAAACTTTTAAAAATTGGGCTAAAGTTGGATCTTTATTTAAGACCCATTAACTTTTGGCTTTATTACTATATTGGATCAAGATCAAGATGAATTCAAACCTTCAACACGTTATACATTACTCTCACTACACTAGTTGCCACCAACCTAAGTCACTACCCCTCCAGCCTTATTTGGATTCGTGATGATCAATTCAAATTTTAAAAATTAAGAAAGTCGGTAATAGAATATATTTTAGTTGAGACATGGATAGTCTGATGCCCAATCTCACCCCTCCCCCTCCCCTTAAGAAAAAGACAAGAAAAGTCCAAAGTTTAAATTATCATTTGATAGCATTTTCTTCAAGTACTTTTTATATTTTCATATATATACTTTTCTAAAATATGGGTTGATTTGCATTTGTTTTCACGTCTGACTTCGCTGACTCCATCTTTTCCCTTCAAATCAATCTCATGCCTAGTAAGACACATGCACATGCATCAATGTATCGTTTGCTATAGAACACTTTTGTTGAATAACTACAAAAACAAAAATTGGTATCAAATAAATACCTTTTCATGTCCTTAAACACGTATTTTATCTAAAAATTCATCCATTGGTACATAATTTTCTTTTAATAACCATCCCTCAAAAGGAATGATCGAAATTAAACATGCCAAAAAGAATTATACAATTAGTCTAAAACATCATGATATGCAGTTATTGTACAGAAAAATCCATAATTTCAACTTCACAACCCTATCAAGCCCCTAAAGTGGCTCACAGTCGATAAGTGAATCAACAACAGTGGATGACATGACATTCTACATGTTGATTTAGAATAGGAAAAAACGGAAGAGATAAGAAAAGGAAAAAATGGTCATTGGACCATTGACCAAAGTAAATAGATGATGAAACCGACCTTAGGCATATCCAAAGACAGTGGAATTGCATTATTTGAGGACCCCATTTGAAGGATCCACATCGCAATAAGAGTTAGTTTTCTTCACAAATAAAAGTAAGCATCAGAGGCGAGGTTTCAAGCGAGAATACTAAATAAAGGTTTTTTTTTAGTATTAATTTTTTTTTAAAAAAATTAATATATTTAAAAAATTTTATGTGGGAGAGATATAAAAAAATGTGATAGGGTTGCCGAGAAAGTTGTTTTAATTTTTACTTTTGTTTTTTTAGCACAGAAAGAGAGTTTAATTTCAACTTTTATTTTTATTTTTTATTTTTTTTATCTGAGAGAGAGAGAATAGGCATGGGTGGAGTGAATATGAGTTCACTTTTAAATACCTTTTTTGTTTTTTTAATTTATGATTTTTAAGTTTTTAATGTTATGAATTAGATCATGGGCCCAAATTATTACCAAAAAAAAAAAATTGACTTGACTTAAATCTTTGGGATTTCTTTTTAAGGGTCTTTTGGAAACCGATACACTAAATTAGACATAATTATAAAAATGTACATAAAAAAATGTGTTGTAAAAAAATACATTGTTGAGATACAAAGACTTAACTGTCCATTTTCTAAAATTTACTTTCCTAAACACGGTTTTAGGAATATATCTTAACATTAATTAAGTACACAGTGATAAGGCTTAACTGCTGAATTTTGAGAACATTAATTCGCGAAAAACTTCATTTTTGGAAAACGGTTATCGCTTCCTCTTCTTATCCAAAAACTACTTCATCTTCCTTGACGAGAAGTCCTAAATCATTCCCTGAACATTTGCAGGGATTCGTCTTTGAAAGAAAAATCCTATTGGTCTGCCATTGTAGATGTAAGTTCATCTGTGTTTTCCACATAATATAACAAAGATAGTGTAACAATACAGTGTAACACTATAACACAGACAATGTTCAATGATTTTGTGGATGTGGTAACAAATCCAAAATAGAGCTAAATTGTTACAATGAAGTTATATGCAAATATATGTTTGACAAAATGTAATATTACAGTGTTTTGTGTAAGTAAAATTTTACATTGTTATTATTATACTGTAAACGCATTTACATGATGAACTTTGGTTATGGTGTTTGCATATAAAAAAATAGTATAATCACATTTAAAATGACAGACATAAACCTTGTAATTGCTTAAATTGAATGATAAAGATGAAATAATATTTCAGACTTGCACTAATAAATTGATTCCAAATCGAAGAAGAAGAAGACAATAAATGATACTGTTGCAAACTTTAAAATTCAAACTAACTGATTTATCCTCAAAATAGACCGAAGAATCAAATATTCCATTAAATTAGGAGATTTTTAATGCATAAATATGATTTGAGAAAATAAACAATTTCCAAAAATAATCGCCACATTAAATATTTTAATTATTCAATTATATTTTAACTACGCATTTTTATTTTAAACTCTATAAAAAAAACGTACTTTCTACTGAATATATAGGTGGTTCTCTATCGGTGTTCATCCCCTCATTAACAAAAGTATCCATGCAAAGGCAGCACTTTTTTTTTTGGACAAATAATTATTAAGTCGGCGCCAAATCACAAAAACCCTCCTTATCTTCGTAATGTCTTATGTGGTGTTGTGGTGTTAGGCGCTTGTCCATTTTCATTAGTGTAGTCCTCCATCATATAAAGTTTCACAAGAAAGCAAATATATCTTGGGGCACGCCAATTGAGTAGAGCCACGTAGTTAATGAATCACATTTAATGGAAGGTTTTTAGTGGGTATTCTGGTCACTAGCCTATGGTATTATTAAATTCAGTACAAAAAAGTCTATTATTTCATTCAAGCAAATAGGGGGTGTGGGTGTTGATGCATTGCATTGAATATTTACTTGTCTGCGTGGTTGGGAGAGAGTGTGTATGGTGCTTTTGGTGAAACAGAAAACCACATTTTATACAACATTATTGTGATTTTCCACGAGGAAATGACAATTCTATATGTGCTAGCAAAATAAATAAATAAAATGTAAAAATATTTTTAAAATTATAATGCATAGATGTTTGGGGGAAAATAAAAAAAATGAACAAAAGCATACAAGACATAGTTGGGCGGGAGGATGTTGAATTGAAAGATACTAAACAAAAATATAAACGGATGATGCACAAAATTGGTTTGTACACCACTTGTCAATTAAGTAATATAAAGTGTAGTAAAGTAGAGGAAGAGAAAATACAAGGTTTATAATGGTTCGATCAATATGACCTGCGTCCACTTTGAATGGTAAGAGTCGCCGGAATTTTATTATCTCCGGTGTGGAGGGAGAGCACAGAATTACAAGCTTTGAGAGGAGAGAAGAGAATTATGCTCATATGAGTCTGATGCCCGCAAATGTTGGTAGGGCTTACAATTTATAATGACTTAGTGTCGTAATTGAACAGCTAGTGTAGCGGTTGTAACGGGTTAGAGCCGTTTAATAGTCATAACGGATTGGGGTGACTTTAACGGTGACTAAATAGCTTGGGGACCGCTCCTCTCCTCAACCGGCAAGAAAGTTATAGTGCTTTCCAAAGGAATTGGTCAAATGATGTGGGAAGGTAGGCTCTCTCCAAGTGGCAAGGGTGAGGCTACTAGATGCTCCATTGGTGGCGTAAAGGAGGCTCTTGGATGACCCTTACTCCAAAGTGGTAGAGAAAACTCTTTGATGACCCTTACTCCAAGGTGGTAGAGGAAACTCTTTGATGATCTTCCATACTCCCTGCTAACGTTGCTCCGTGATTTTTGATGAGCTTGTCTTGGTTGACCACATTGAGCTAGACTTGCTAGATCTCTTGGAGATGGGCTATAAACTCATATCGGGCTTATAATTTGAGTTTGGTCCTTGGGCATTGTCCCATCATTTGCCCCCCAATGTCTTGCGTCTAATGAAACTTGGAAAAGAGGGCATTCAGTTTGAGTTTGAATTTTTCGCTGACCGACACAATTGGAAAAACTTCAAAAGGCCAAAACATATATTTATAGGCTTTTTTTTAACTTTTAATAGCATCAATCATAGCCATAGGCTGTGAGTCTTATAGGACTCGCTGAAAACTTTGATTTCAGCTCATTGAGAGCTTCAATTTGGTATATAATATGTTCTATTTTGAGTTTCGGAACAAAAGTTACGGTCAAAATAGCGTGCAAAGAGCTGGGCGTGCAATTTGGACGACCAGGCAGCTTCTGGGTGAGCAGGCAGCATCCTAGGTGAGTAGCAAAAATTTTTTTTTTTTTAAAAGCTCATTAAATGAGTTTTGCTCAGTTCGTCAAAAGCTTCGATTTGATATATAATAAGCCCCATTTGGACTTTAGGATCAAAAGTAACGGTCAAAATAGCATGCAGCCTTTTTTAAATCCGAATTTTTTGAAAACTCCTCTTGATTGGCAACCCCGTTCCTTCCAGTAGACTCCTTCTACTTGTAGGACTCCATTGACTATATAAACTCCTTCTTTCACTTTTCTTTTGGATTTTTGAAGAGATCGTTGTTGTCCTCGGAAAAGAAGAGTAGGGAGTTGAGAGGAGTGGTTTTGGGGGAGTGGCATACTGTGCACGCGTCTAGAGTATGTGAGAAGGAGGCATTGGGTGCCCAGGCTGTGGCGACCCCAATTTTAGCGAGCAAGCCAGGCGAGAGAGGGAGGCGCACAGGTGTACGGGTTTGCCTTGGGCGCCGCTAACGTGCAAGCTAGGCGCGTTGGGCCACGCTCTGTGGAGAAGCGAGCAGGCTAGGTGAGCGAGGCTGCTGCAGCAACAATCCATGTTAGGAGAGCAGGCTGTGTGCCTTAACAGTCTCGGGCAAGCAAGATGGGTGCCTTGATAGTCTTGTCAAATGGGAGTTCATGGAGGGCCCTCACGCAAAAGCTGGGTGTTGAGGATACCGAGACCGAGATGGTGATCCATGCTGCAGGAACTGAGATGAGGGGTGCCGGAGTGGGGTGCCATTGGCATGAAGAGGCTCTATGGTGTCAGATGGGATGCCCCATGCGTTGCGTGCTGATGGAGAGGAGCCTATGATGTTGGGCACTACTGCAGAGGCCCCTATGGTGATGGGCGGCGCTGGAAAGGAGCCCATGGTACTCGGCGCCGTTGGCTGGAAATTTTGTTAATCGCGACGAAGGTGTGCTGTTTGGAGGCAAGTGCAAGTAGAGCTTGTTTGCGCTAGGTGTTAAGTGAGGGGTGCTGCGACAACGAAGAAGACAGTGCCAGATAGACACAAAAGAATGAGGTCTGGTTGTTGACATTCAATTTAATATAGTCCCTCAGGTTGCAAACAACTTGAGTTTCAAGAGCTTGGCTAGAGATGGCAAAAATAGTGTTATTTCAAATATTAAAATATCTAACATAATTACCTAGAGAGAGAAGTAGGTTGCTTGCGCGAGAGCAAAAACAGAGTTTGAGGATTGCTTGTGAGGGAGCTACACCTTTTGAGACCGAACTTTTGGCGACCCATGAGAAAATCCTTAAGCTTGAGGTATAAGCTGCTTGCTTGAGAGCAGAGCAGATGTCAAGCTTTTGGCAACCTGCAAGAGAGCTGCTCAGCTGAAGATAGGCTGCCTGCTTGAGAACAGTGCAAAGGTCAGGGTCTTGGCAACCCATAAGAGAGCCGCTCAGCTGGAGATATAGGCTGCCTGTGTTGAGAACAGTGCAGAGGCCATATTTTTGGCAACCCACAAGAGTGTCGCTAAGCTGGAGACATTGGTTGTCTGCTTAATAGTAGAACAGAGATAGGTCAAGCTTTTGGCGATTCACCTCACCCGGACTTGTTGATTTTCTCAGCATTCATATACCTTTGAGCTTTTGCCAATAATTATGACATGCTCTTTGGTGGCCACTTCATTACCGAAAAGAGGAAGCTTGATACTTAGAGGCCTCCTAGGAAGACGGTCATGCTAACCTAATCATCGGGCTCCTCGACTTGAAGGACCTCCTCATTAAAACGAGTGAAGTAGCTCCTTAGGCTCTCGTCTCGATCTTGTTTTATGTTAAGCAAATGGGTGACAGGTTTTTGGTGGCAGCATCCTCCAATGAAGTGTAACACAAAGGACCTACTCAGCTCAACAAATGAGCCAATGGAGGTTGGGGAGAGTTTGGCGAACCATTGTTGAGCGGATCCCTTCAAGGTGGTTGGGAACGCTCTGCACATGATTTCATCAGGGACATTATGTAGCTACATCAAGGTCTTAAAAGTTTCAAGGTGGTCTAGTGGATCCTTCGTACCGTAAAAGGTTTCAATAGATAGCATCTTGAATTTCTGAGGAAGTGGGTAGTTCGTCACGTCAGGTTTGAAAGGTGTGTCNCGCTCTGCACATGATTTCATCAGGGACATTATGTAGCTACATCAAGGTCTTAAAAGTTTCAAGGTGGTCTAGTGGATCCTTCGTACCGTAAAAGGTTTCAATAGATAGCATCTTGAATTTCTAAGGAAGTGGGTAGTTCGTCACGTCAGGTTTGAAAGGTGTGTCAGTTCGACTTACGAGGTAGTCCACTGTCTTGGGTCCCTGTGCCTTCATGGCGTTGAAGACGTCACCCAATTGATTTTGCACCTTCTTAATTTTTTCATCCCAGTGATTGAGAGGAGGTCTTCTAGAATTATCATGGAAATGGTTTTCACCCTCATCCTCATGGAAATAAAGATCTCCACCATGGAGAGCAGGAGTTGGAGGAGGAGGTGGAGGTCCCTCATGATAAGCCCCCTTGTGTGGGGTGCCCTAAGGTACTCCCAGAGGTGGGGCACCTCCTTGATGGGGAGCATCTAGGTGAGGAGCTCCTTGATGGATAAGGCGTGGAGCTCCTCTAACTTGAGATCTAGGTTGTGTTCCTCCTTGTTATCCGAGCAGCAACTGCAAAATCTGCTGATTTTGGGCTATAAGTTGTTGCATGGTCTCCTAAATCTGCTGCGCATTTGAGACTGGATTGGGTGGAGGAGCAACCTCCTCCTCTCGTGGTGGAATTTCTTTTGACTGATTCATGGATCTGATGGTGATCGCCTTTGATTCAGCAAAGAAAATGTTTAGGTGAGAACTTTGTCGTTCCCACAGACGGCGCTAAACTGATGATGCACAAAATTGGTTCACATACCACCTGTCAATTAAGTAATATGAAATGTAGTAAATTAGAGGGAGAGAAAAGACATGGTTTATATTGGTTCAGTCAACATGACCTACGTCCACTTTAAATGGCAAGAGTCGCCGAAATTTTATTATCTCCGGTGTGGAGAGAAAGCACAAGATTACAAGCTTTGAGAGGGGGCGAGAGAATTATGCTCAAATAAGTCTGATGCCCCCCAAGTGTTGGTGGGGCTTACAATTTATAGTGGCTTAGTGTTGTAATTGAACAGCTAGTGTAGCAGTCGTAACGGGTTAGGGTCGTTTAATAGTCATAACGGATAGGGGTAACTTTAACGGTGATTAAATAGCTTAGAGACTTCTCCTCTCCTCAATCGGAAATATGGTACTCTCCAAAGGACTTGGTCAAATGATGTGGGAAGGTAGGCTCTCTCCAAGTGGCGAGGGCGAGGCTCCTGAATGCTCCCTTGGTGGCGTAGAGGAGGCTCTTGGATGACTCTTACTCCAAGGTGGTAGAGAAGGCTCTTGAATGACCCTTACTCCAAGGTGGTAGAGGAGACTCTTTAATGACCTTGCATACTCCCTGCTAATGTTGCTCCTTGATTCTTGATGAGCTTGTCCTAGTTGACCGCATTGAGCTAGACTTGCTGGATCTCTTGGAGATGGGCTATAAACTCAGACTGGGCTTATAATTTGAGCTAGGCTCTTAGGCTTTAGCCCATCATAAACAAACAAGACAGTGACCAAAAAAAAATTTGTATATCTGGTGGAGACCATACNCGCCTTTGATTCAGCAAAGAAAATGTTTAGGTGAGAACTTTGTCGTTCCCACAGACGGCGCTAAACTGATGATGCACAAAATTGGTTCACATACCACCTGTCAATTAAGTAATATGAAATGTAGTAAATTAGAGGGAGAGAAAAGACATGGTTTATATTGGTTCAGTCAACATGACCTACGTCCACTTTAAATGGCAAGAGTCGCCGAAATTTTATTATCTCCGGTGTGGAGAGAAAGCACAAGATTACAAGCTTTGAGAGGGGGCNCTGTCAATTAAGTAATATGAAATGTAGTAAATTAGAGGGAGAGAAAAGACATGGTTTATATTGGTTCAGTCAACATGACCTACGTCCACTTTAAATGGCAAGAGTCGCCGAAATTTTATTATCTCTGGTGTGGAGAGAAAGCACAANCCTGTCAATTAAGTAATATGAAATGTAGTAAATTCGAGGGAGAGAAAAGACATGGTTTATATTGGTTCAGTCAACATGACCTACGTCCACTTTAAATGGCAAGAGTCGCCGAAATTTTATTATCTCCGGTGTGGAGAGAAAGCACAAGATTACAAGCTTTGAGAGGGGGCGAGAGAATTATGCTCAAATAAGTCTGATGCCCCCCAAGTGTTGGTGGGGCTTACAATTTATAGTGGCTTAGTGTTGTAATTGAACAGCTAGTGTAGCAGTCGTAACGGGTTAGGGTCGTTTAATAGTCATAACGGATAGGGGTAACTTTAACGGTGATTAAATAGCTTAGAGACTTCTCCTCTCCTCAACCGGAAATATGGTACTCTCCAAAGGACTTGGTCAAATGATGTGGGAAGGTAGGCTCTCTCCAAGTGGCGAGGGCGAGGCTCCTGAATGCTCCCTTGGTGGCGTAGAGGAGGCTCTTGGATGACTCTTACTCCAAGGTGGTAGAGAAGGCTCTTGAATGACCCTTACTCCAAGGTGGTAGAGGAGACTCTTTAATGACCTTGCATACTCCCTGCTAATGTTGCTCCTTGATTCTTGATGAGCTTGTCCTAGTTGACCGCATTGAGCTAGACTTGCTGGATCTCTTGGAGATGGGCTATAAACTCAGACCGGGCTTATAATTTGAGCTAGGCTCTTAGGCTTTAGCCCATCATAAACAAACAAGACAGTGACCAAAAAAAAAATTGTATATCTGGTGGAGACCATACGTTGGTGTTGTAATAGTAACTGAAAAAGGATTAACCCTTAATATACACAATTAAGAAACCATAATGAAGTAACTAAAAAGATGAAACCAAATAAACTTTTTTGGGTCTTTCTAAAGAGGAAAATTTGTGATTCGATTTTTTGGGTTTGTATAACCCCGCTCGTAAAAAAAAATAAAATGTTGATTCTTATTTCCTCTTTAATTTTAATAAATGTTCTTCTTTTTTTGTGTCAAAATAAGTTTAAATGCATTGCAAATTATTGGCAAAATACTTTTTCTCCAACATCCAAAGGCAGTCGATCGCAAGACTAAACTTCAAGTAGTTATTTACTCTTGATTATCACAAAATTCTTTCTATTGGGAGATCAAGAAGTCAAGTTTTATCAAAGGCAATAATGACTGATTTCTCTTGCTTCTCTTTTTGGGAGTCCTCTCTCTTTGTCTCTCTCCACACACCCATCTTTGAGTTTTTTAATCTACTCATGATATAAACCTGTTGCTATTTGTGTTGCAATTGCACAAGATGTTTTTCGACAATCAATGTGGAGCTAACCTGTAAATGGGGGTAGAGAGCTTGCAACATAGAGAAATAGGTTAAGAGGTGTCGGGATTTTATCCGATGCATTCTCTTTGA